TCAGAGCATGTGTCAGGGATCTATAAAACATGTCAGTAGAAGGGCTAAAATGTGTAGCTGTTGTGGATGAGAGAGTCTTTATAATGTTAGTGCAGTAAAACTGTAAATCTATTGATTTACAGCCTGCTAATGCACATCTGGCACTTTGTACACTGCGAGTTGTGTACGGTGAAGTGAATCATAATTTCTTCCCCCTTGGTGCAGTTTCCAGAAGCCCGTTCCTGCCAACATGGTTTTGTGATCCACTACACAACAAAAGCTGGATCTCTCATGTGCAACCTGATCTGWTTGACACACTGCCAAGGATGAAGGTTGCATGTTTACACATGCATGTGCTGGTCTGCGCGTATCACAGCTGTGATAGTTTTTTTTTTCCAGCTGAGCGCACTCACATGTCTTAGGTTTCCATGTGAGCACGTGTTGGAAAGGCCAGTTGTGCACATGTCTCATGCAAGTGGCTGTTAGTAAAGCACAACCAGCACTAATTAGACCCTGATAAAGAAATGCTTCTGGGTGTTATCACCCACCACCATTCAGGCTCAAATTAGAAATGAAGATCATTTTCTGATGAGAAAAGGGAGAACCTTGTAAATGACATAATGTGTGAGATCTAATATTGTGAGATCTTGCAAGTAGTGCAAGTATTCGGAGTAAATTTGGGGGATGGGTCTCAGTTACCATGCTTCATTTTAGCTCAGTCTCTATAAAATTGACAAATGTATAGCTTGTTTTGTTTTWGCTAATCCAGATATACCAACTATGTTGACTCCAATAGTTGGAGTTGTATGTGTGACCTTCTCGGAGTTTATTTAAAGTCCATTAAATGGTTTATGAGAGTTTTTGCTAATGATACATACATGCACACACAGACACCGGTAAAAACATTCTGTTCTTTCTCATTCAGCAGCAGGTGATCACTGCTGTGCCTCAGTTTTTTTTTTCTAGCTCAGCACCAGAAAATATAAATACCAGGAAAACATGCAAACTCCTTCACAGAAGTTGTTTAAGTTACGAGACCTGAAATCTGCTCTGTTTTGACTTCTGCCTCGACCAGAAGTTCGACTCCGGTAGAATYGTTTCTCCACCAGACAAATTGCTCATGAGTTACGATGTATGCTACAGGTACTGAGTCACGAAAAGGTCAGAGTTAGCAAAAAAATAAATAAATTGGAAGCTCTTCTCTTGTACAGACTAAATATTTATACCTGGTTTAACTGCAGTTAGTATTACAGACTAAGAGCATGTGTACTATGATTTATAAGACCCAAAATGCAACTCGGCAGCTTTTTTTTTCTAGTAGGGTTTTGTGTAAAGGTTATAAACAAATAACTCTGTGAACTGTCTTCATTTGAAATAAAGGACTGGTGAGCTAACAGCTAGGCAGAGCACGGTGAGGACCAAAATAGATTATTTCAGTCCTAAAACAACTTAAATCTTAAGAAATAGAGTAATTTTTGCAAACAGTATTTTATGAATCTTGACATTACACGGTCATTGACTTTGATCTCTGACTAATTCTCCCGTTAGTTCTCCCAGATAACCCTTATAAATCTAAATCAATAGTGGTTTATAGCAGTGGTTCCCAATGTTGGGGTTGGGACCCCTCAGTGGGTCATGAAGAATTAAATCAGGGTGCCTAGATGATTTCCAGACATCAATTTAAATGCAAATAAAATGCTAATGGAATATTTTCACCATATTAAAAATACATTTAAAAACTCATAAATAAATTAAAGTAGTCTCATACAGTTATTAGGTTAGCTTATATTGTTATGATGCCCATGTTTAACAGAGTTATTAGCGTTAAGTAAACATATGCAAACCAGTAATATCTGGGGTCACAAGTTTCTGCATCAGTTATTTTGTGGGCCAGAAGCTAAAAGTTTGAAAACCCACAGTTTAAAGCAGGGGTTCTTAATCTTTTTTGACCTCGGGGCCCAATTTGTTGAACATAAAGTGGCACGAGGCCCAGTCACACATTACCAATGTATGGATCAAATTGATAATTATTCTAAACCTTGGTTTAATATAATTATCTTTACCAATATATGGATCAAAATGATTATTATTCTAAGTCTTGGTTTAATTTTTATTGTATTTACATTATAACTAAATTAAATACATTTATATTTTTAAAGGAAAACTCCTGGCAAATAGTCTTAAGACATGATTATGACAAACATTTTTATATTGTAACCTGCCCATAACAATTATTTGAACAAATACAAAGGTCAGTCAACAGACCACTCAGGCTTATCAGCACAAAAATATATGTTTTTTAACATTAACAATACCAAAAATAGAAAATTCAAAAAATAAAATTATGGGCATAAAATAAATAAATTAAAAATGTTTAATGTAAATGTTTAAAATAAAAAAACTGTAAAAATGAATTTGATAAAGTACAAATGAAAATATAGCATTTTCAAACTTTTGCAACCAGAAGCTGCTCTTCATATTAGTGACAAACTTTGGTGTTTTTTCATGAGTTACTTTCATTTTTGCTTCTTCTTTTCATTTAAAATACGTTTCCATTCTCGGCAGGTTTCTAAGGTTCTTCTTCTACATATTAAAAAGTTGTTAAGAGTGGCGCACTACYGCTACTAGTGGTGAGAAAGTGTATTGCACCTTATTCAAAATCAATATGGTCCCGCGGCCCTCTGCGGCCCAAAGTTAAAAACTGTTGTTCTTTTGAGGCCCTCAAGGTGGCGCTCGCGCCCCACAGTTGGGCCGTGGCCCATAGGTTAAGAATATCTGGTTCAGAAGATCATAAAACAAACTCACGAGTACTACTATATTTTTTGACAGAGTTGACAGCAGCAACTCACCTTGACCCTGAGCTTAGACTAGCTAGATAATATGTAATTTTTATACATTACCCACAACAGGTAAGACATTATCTATTTGAAACTTTTCTATAGAATCCCACAAAAAAAAACTGTCACTATAAGAAGACAAAATACARTTTGACTATAAACAATAACAAAGCTGCATAATTTAATTGTGACAGGTCAGGTTTGTTTGCTGTTTGCGAGATTTAGCTTTTGATGAAATATTTTCTGTGTTTTAATTCAATAATTTCAATTTTTTGCATTTGTTTTACATTTGTTTTGATTTTATTTTTCAACTCATTTGTGCAGAGTGGATTCTTCTTCTTCACCCCACCAGTCACCTTCAGTCTGCTGTGAAACCTGGTGGGAAAATGTTCGTCGTGACACTGAAACACAGGAACATGGACGGAAATCGAAAGTGGGTTCCAGGTCTTGGAGCTGTGTTGTTGATACTCCTGAGCCACATGACTTCAGGACTCGAAGTGCCTCTTGACCGTAAGCATGCTCCTCATTAATAAAACAATAATGATGCATGTTCTATTAGATTCTACTTCTGTAAAATCAAAAAATGATTCATCTTTAATACTTGCAATGCAAAAATGAAATCTCTGGCTACTTTTCTTGCATTTTTTTCCACCTGCTTCACAAAAAAAATCAAACAATTCCAAAGCAAAATGCTCAATCAAATGCTTTGATGTGTTTCTATTTTGCCAAAACATGTTTCCTTGCAAACAAAACTAACACCTTTCTTCAATATTCTGTCACTGTGTTACGACATGTCATGATGGACAAAAAGCTAAAGTACTGGAAGGATGTAAGTTGGATCAAACGCTGTCGTTACGATTTATTCATGAGTGGCTTTAAGGAGTGATGTGCATGTAGTTATTCGTTTGGCTTGGTGTGTTTCCAGGAATATATTTGTTGTCTTTGTTTGCAGTGTTTTTCATTCTCATGTTTCTGCCTGTTTTGCATGTTGTTTATRACGTGTTTATGGCGTGAATTCAAATTAAATTCTCATGTGTGTTTCCCCAGTGCCTCAACCTCCCACCATAACGCTGCAGTCCCCGAAGGATTACATCTTTGATCCGAGGGAGAACATCATCATCCACTGTGAGGCCAAAGGGAAGCCTCATCCCAGGTGAGACGATCAATCCAAACACTGCTTAATTGGTTAAAACCCAGAGATGTTGTTTCGCTTTGTGAAATTACCGCTACCTCGTCTGGGGCACGGAGAAAGAGACTATCACCTGGAAGATTTGAATTAGCTCCTCAATTTTCCTCAACGTTTAAGTGAAGCAACAATAATCAGGGAAACCCCTTGAACTGATGATTCAAACACCCGATATATTTCTTTCCTTCTTGTCGATTTTTAGTTTCTCCTGGACGAGAAACGGGACTCACTTCGACGTGGACAAAGACTCCAAAGTCATGATGAAACCCGGTTCGGGAACCCTGGTGATCGACATCAGCGGGGAAAAGGCTGAAGCCTACGAGGGAACGTATCAGTGCAGGGCTCAGAACGAGCACGGAGCTGCTCTGTCCAATAACATCGTCATCAGACAGTCCAGTAAGACCTCGCAAGATACCTTAATATTCTCTTAAAAACAAGTGTAGATCAGGAAAAAAAGTTAGAAAACTCATCCACACTGATTTTTTTTTTATTGGTACTCAGAGTCCCCCTTATGGCCGAAGGAGATAATCGAGGCCATTGTGGTTCAAACGGGGACCCCCCTCGTTCTTCCATGCCGACCTCCTGCTGGACTACCTCCTCCTGTCATCTTCTGGATGGATAATAGTGAGTCATAGCATCAGTGATAACTGCTACAATAAAGTTGTAGAAGCGGTTGTAGTAGTTGTTTTTTTCCTTTTGTAAATATTTGGTTTATTGCAGATTTTCAGAGGCTGACCCTGGATAAACGAGTYTCCCAAGCCCTGAATGGAGACTTGTACTTTTCCAATGTTCTCCCAGAAGACACCAGGAGTGACTACATTTGCTACGCTCGCTTCCCCCACACACAGACCATCCAGCAGAAGCAGCCCATTTCAGTCAGAGTGCTGGACAGTAAGTAAAACAGCCGAAACSGGGTTTTAAATTAGGACAAAATAAGTCCTCACCAATTATGGTGATGCTTACGATTGTCACTGGTTGTGTTTCACCATCGATATTTCACATCTGCAGATTGTTTTTCCTATATTTGAGTCATTATTTCCAYTTCCTTTAGCTGCTGAACTCTAATTTCCTTGTACTGCTGTGCCTTTTGCTTCATAAAGGCCATATATTACTGTCAAAGTTATTGTGCAATGATCGAGGAAAAGTGTTTGCAGCAACACACTGTAAATATGTTTTAAAAGCTAAAACTCCAACAAAGGCTAAGTTTAATGTTTTGTGTTTATTTCCCAGTTATGCATGCTTATGATTTTCTGTCAAATTCCAGTGGAAAGCATAAATGAGACTCTGGCTGCTTTATACAATGTTACTGGGTTGTATAGTGGTGAGTGCTGCTGGTTTACTCCCTTCAGCCCCGTCAGTGTGAACCCTGCCTCCTGTTTCCTTCGTTTCATAAATACTTCCTTTAACTTCACCACACCACCTTCATCTGTGATCTCAGTAATAGTACTAGGACTGCACAGTGTATCAAAATGTATCATTTCACAATATCATTATGAAAATATTGCAAAAGCTTCCAGTACATTGCAGATAAGAACTTCCTTGAAATATATAAATTTGGCATCAGAAAGATCCGTCACTCCACTAAAAACCTGCAACTGGCACAAAGTGTTGTGTGCATTGTAATTACACAACACCCGGGGTTTATAAGTATATTTGCTTCGTTGCAGTAGTTTTTTTAAAGTGCCTGTTACGTACATATCCTTCAAATACAAAAAGTAAAATAAAACATCTTTATATTCAAGAAACTTGGCATAAAACACATGATTTTACCCATTTTGTCACCTAACTGGTATATTTTCTTTTGAGTTTGGCTCAGCGAAAATGAAACAGGAAGTGACATCAAAGGGGAACTCTTTAAGATGGCAAACTCTCTGTTCTTTGTTTATTAAAACAATATACTTTGAACTCTGACTTTTCTTCATCTCTCTTTGATAGTGATCCAAAATAATCTAAAGAAACATCAGATTCTTCTCTACAGTCTGTGTTGTCGGCCATAGTAGCAATGATCTGTTTACATTCAGACATTCCCCTTTGACATCACTTCCTGTTACTTCACATGCAACTATTTCAACCATTGTTCATCTTAGCGGTATAATTTTTTTTGCAATATGTTATCAATGTTATCTTTCCAAAAATGCATTCATAATTATTACAGAAATTTGATGTCACAGGCACTTTAGGGATTTTTAATTTTAACAATTATTTTTTAAAATAGCTACTTTTACTTTTATTTCATTACTTTTTAAAGCTAAAAATTAAACTTTTATTGGTTTAATTTAAAATGTAACACCTAATTACTCATTACAAAATTAAACATGTTTGAACTCGTGAAAAAAAGATGTTTCTGCWCTCTAAAAAATGAAGTGTTGAATTTACTCAAAGTCATGTCAACTGGCCTAGTTGAGTAAATTGAGCAAATAAAATACATATACAGTATTTCTCAGTTTACTCAACTTGGCTTAGTGGAGCCAGTTTGGTTCAGTAAATTCAACAGTTTATTTCTTAGAGAGTGTGTAAAAGTATTTTTACTTTTGCTTTCCCAATTTTTGTGACCAGTTTTATGACTTTTGCTTGAGTAGTTTTCTCATCAGTGAAACATATTTTTACCAAAGTCATTTTCTGTTCATGTAATTTTACTTTTACTTAGTTATTTTTTTCAAGTACTTTATAGACCTCTGCACAACAACCGTATGTATCACAACTGATATCATCGTAATGAACAATAATATCACAGTTAGATTTTTCTAATCTTGTGCAGCCCTGTAATGAACACTGGTTATTTACCAGTTTTCTGCTCATCATCTCTGTGTGAGTTCATGAATGTTAAGCTGTCCAATTGTTTGTCTTTTTTTTAATTTATTTATTGTTTTTATGCTGCAGGTGTCCGGGGTTTTGCACTGTTTTCTGTAATAAATGCTCAATTTTTAATTTTTTAATAATTTGCAATTTAAATCTATAATTTTAAACTAGATGTGCTCACTAAGAAAAAACTGAGAAGTTATGTTCAATTTAAATATGATTTTGACACAGAGCTTTATGGTAAATGTCCAAATGTCCTTTGGAGCTGTTCTGTTAGTCTTATGTTGGAAAATCAGTTTACACCTTGACTCATCAGTAACTTTTCCCTTTATATTTGTTCCCCAGCATCACAATATTAAATCCTAAACTCCTCTTTAGCTGTTTTAAGTGCTTCCAAGTTTAATGTTTTGACCTGGCTCTGATTTCCTGTGTCCTCAGGCAGGCCTGAGGGAGAGCGTCGCCCTGGTTTCATGTTGCCTTTAGGCACCACCAGCACCAAGATGGTTCTGAAAGGAGAGACTCTGGTGCTGGAGTGCATCGCAGAAGGATTGTAGGCTGGCAGTTTTTATTTATTTATTTATTGTCAAATAAAAGGCTTTCATGAAACTCACTGTCATGTTTTCTACAACAGGCCCACTCCAGATGTTTCCTGGTACAGGGATGATGGGCAGCCCCTGAGCAGCAGGACCTCCTTCGAAAACTTCAAGAAAACACTGAAGATTTCTAACGTGGATGAAGATGATGCTGGTGTGTACCGCTGTACCGCCACTAACAAGCTGGGCTCACAACACCACATCATTAAAGTCAGCGTAAAAGGTACGTAAAATTAACACAAGGGTTTTTATTTTTATTATTTAATAAAGTTCACAGTTCACATTTTATTGAAATAACAGATTCTAATCAAAGTATTTTTTGTCTCACTAAAACTCTGAAAAACAATAAGAACTTAGATTGATATTGATGCAAGTAGCTGGTAAAAATACTGCTTCTTTATCTTTGTTCCCCCTAGCGGCTCCATTCTGGGTCAGTGCTCCCAGGAACCTGATCCTCGCTCCGAATGAGACCGGCATCCTAACTTGCCGAGTTAACGGAGAGCCTAAACCGGATATCCAATGGTTTGTCAATGGAATCCCCTTAGAGAGTGAGTTAACTAAGACAATACTGTATAGTGTGCAAATCAGATTGCTTTGTTGTGGTGGGAAATGAGTTGACCGTTCCAATAAATTTTTAATGGTGGTCTATAAAGGTTTACACAGYGTACTGGTGCAACAGAAGTGAATCACTACCAGAGGAATCATCACATTATTGTAAATGAAATATGTCATCTGTTGGTTTTGTGCCAGATGTTCCTAAGGACCCCAGACGTAAGATCGATGGCGACACGGCCATTCTGAGCAACGTGCTGACAGGAACCAGTGCTGTCTACCAATGCAATGCTTCCAATGAGTTTGGCTACCTAATGGCTAACGCTTTTGTTAGCGTTCTGGGTAAGTTGCAACATATTTATCCAATGCTAAAGAGTGCCATGGATTAAATGGGCAATGATTTACTGTGTCTCCAATAGCTGAACCTCCAAGAGTGCTCACTCCAGCTAACAAAGTGTATCGCGTCACCACCAACAATCGGGCTTTACTCGACTGTTCCTCCTTCGGCTCTCCAATACCCACCATCACGTGGTAAGTCTCAGGACACAAGATCTTAAACAAAGTTGGCCACAGCGTTATAATCTACCTTAGACCTAAAATCTACCTGTAGGTTCAGGTGTAAATATTTTTCTTGGTAAGAAGCAGGTATAAAGCTGTAAAGCAGGCATTATACGAACCTATTGGATGTGTACAACAAAAAGGAACAGATTGAGAGATTAGGCAACTAACCAATTTCAACGTCTTCATTCTCCTCTGGCTCTGGGTCATACTCTGGCTCCAACATGTAAAGCCAGATGTAAAAGGCTTTCATTTTTTACATCTTTTAGTTAATTTGTAAATAAAAAGTTTCTGCGCCACTATATAGCCCCTCTATCAAACCCGAATAGACCGATCTGAAAGCTCGGAGGGAGGCGGGGTTTGAAGCTCCTCGTTTGGATTTAAAGAGACAGACAGACATCAAAACGAGTTGATCTGTGACACAACTCAGAAAATGGGTGGAAGAGGGGCTTGTGGAGTTACAGTAAGGAGGAATTTAGACTAAAGTTTTCTGTTTGCTTTTTTTATATATACAGGTTCAAAGACTTTCAGATCAGCATTAAGAACGGTGACCAATATGTGATTTACGAGAATGGTACTCTAGAAATTAATCTAGCCCAGCCGATACACAGTGGAAACTACACCTGCATCGCCACCAACAACCTGGGGAGAAGAGAGAATCAGGTCTCCCTGGAGGTCAAAGGTCACGACGATTTAACATAATTTCATATATGAATGATAAAACAGTATATTGAACTCTGGCGCTGTTAAAAATTGGCATTTAGTTAGAAAAGCTGTGTTTCTCTTTGTTTTTTCAGAGTCCACTCGTATCCTGAAACAGCCGGAGTACAGCGTGGTGCAGAGAGGAATGAGCGCCGTGTTTGAGTGTAAAGTCAAACACGACAGAACCCTCACTCCCACCATCACCTGGCTGAAAGACGGCCGAGAGCTGCCGCAAGACAGCAGGTGCAACCAAAACACGCAGCTGTGACTTGATTTGGCTCTTTAAAAAAAGCTTATTTAGTGAAACACGATTGGTTACACTTACAGGTTTGTGGTGGGCAAGGAGGGACTGACCATCGACGATGTTACTGAGGACGATGAGGGCACTTATACCTGCGTCACCACCACCATTCTGGACGAGGACTCGGCCAGCGCCAGGCTGACTGTTGTTGGTAATATACGCTAATTCTTTCCCAGAGAATAATTCAAATAAATGTGTTAATAAAGCTCCACTAACTCCAAGTTTCTTCTTCTTTTTCCTCTTTGCATTTTACTTCCTGTTTTTCTTTCAGAATAAAATGTTTAATTCTGTAGTTTTAAATGGAGTTAGATCCTAGAATCTGTTTGCAGTTGTGATTTTTCTGCTTTTTCTTCCTGCTCTAAAGTGTCTGTTACTAACATCTTTTTCTCTCCTTGGTCTTGACTTTTTCTCTTCCTGCTGTCAGAGGCAACTCCTACTCCCGCAGTAGTTTACGGTAAAGGAACCACAGAAAAGCTTCCAGTCGGTTCTTTCAGTCAGTGGTTTGAGTCATAAAGTGTTCAGCTTCAGTTTTGTCTTTATTTTGTTTAATACTTTACTTGTATGATTTTGTTTGACGTTAAGTTCATGGAACAAGCAAAAACTTTTTTATTGCAGCTCATTTCCCTCATACAAACTGTTCCACTGGTATTTTTTTAAAAATATGAAACATTTGTTTATGTTCAGAAGAGCCATCTACCACTTCAAACATTTACTTTTATCATTTTATTAAACAATGAGGCAAAATGAAATAAAAAGTAAACATTTCTTTAATTTTCTCTTTTTATGTCTTATTTTGTTTTGTATTTAAAAAAGCCTCGAGACTAAAGGTTAAAGCCTAATTTTCGTTCTGCCATTTTTCTGTCGTTAATCATAATAAAGTTGCATTATTGTGAAAGTCTCAGCCAACACAGCATAAAGAACTAACTGTTCTCGGATTGTTCCTGCAGAGAAGCCTGACCCGCCGACTGACCTGGAACTGACTGATCAGACGGAGAGGAACGTTCAGCTCACCTGGACCCCCGGAGACGAAAACAACAGCCCAACACAGAGTATGAAACACAAAATGCATCACACCTTTAGGCTATTCACAAAATACAACCAATCAGGATCGAGCCTCTTTACTTCCATCTAAATGAGTGACTGCACATTAAACAAGAGTCATAAATGAATACAGTGGTTTGCAAAAGTATTCATACCCCTTGAACTTTTCCATATTTTGTCACATTACAACCACAAACATAAATATATTTCACTGGAATTTAATG